TAACGGCCGCCCGTTACCTCAGGAAGGAGCTCGAGCAGCGCGCGGCATCCCCATGGCCACCCCCTACCTCAGGGACTAGCCCGGCTCACACAGCCCACGTGCAGGAACCAAACGACCACCCATTACCTCAGGAAGGGGCGCGCATAGCCCGTGCACAGCATCCCCATGGCTGTTACCTCAGGAAGGAGCTTGCACAACCCGCACATGGGATCCCCATAGCTGTTACCTCAGGGACGGGACGGGCTCACACAGCCCGCGCATGGGATCCCCATGGCCGCCCCAAACCTCAGGGAGAGTTGGGGCTGCAGCTGCCCGGTCCCACACATCTGCTGGGGCAGGAGGGGAAGAGATGAAAGCAGACACGAGGATGGGTTTAAGGCAGGTTTAATAAAGCACAAATTTCTTTCCTCCTCCCTCTAACGATCCACTATTTATATACATGTCAATAGTTGATTTTATAAAAATAGTAAAGTTAGAAATTTGATTTATACAGAGTAGTTGCTTAAGCAAGCAGCTAAAAAAGTGAGCTAAAAAAAAAAAAAGTACCCCTTACTGTTGCAACTTCAATCAAAACAACCAGATTTACAGATTTGATTTGGGTTTGGGCAAGGCACCAGCTGAGAAATGTTTATGTACAAGGCAGGGGCGGGCAGCGCGGGCCGCGGCGCTCACTGGGCGGGCAGCGGCGTGGCCATGTGCAGCGCAGCGCCCTGCATGGGCCAGCTCTCCTGGTGGCTCTGCAGCAGCCGGTACAGCTGCTTCAGGTGCGCCACGATGTTGTCCTTGATGTCCGGCGTGGAGATCTGCAGGCGCACGCTGCCGCTGTCGAAGGAGCGCGTGAAATCGCCGGAAAACATTTCATAGATCATCCGAGCCACCACGGGAATGACCTGTTTAAAAATAGGGCAGTTATTTCTAGGCAGTCACATAATACATGCCTGTTATTTTGCTAAAGAAACTGAATAGCACCAGGAATGTCCTGCAGTGGTCAAATCTACCTTCAGCAGTTTGTGAACAGCAATTCACAGACTCGGTATACAAGGAATACGTATGACTTGGACTTAACACGGCAAAAACCCACCAGCTTCCTGCTTGGGCTCCTGGATCTCATTAAGCAAGATGGAGGAAAAAGAGTTGGGGTCTAGGAGGCCCAGCAAAGCCGATTTTGGAGCCTTTGCTCATACCTGAACCACAATCAACTTCCTCTCTCTGGGCTTTCCATCAGGCCATTCTTCCCCAAAACAGAAGTAGATTTCATAAGGTGGCTGTTTCTCAATTTGTCCCTTCTGATGGGCAATCAGCTCTAGGAAGACATGTAGAACACTCCATGGTTATGCATCTTTCCATCAGGAACAGTTACCACATCCCACCTTGTTACCCGTTGCCCCAGGTCCGACAGGATCATGCAATCCTTCTTCAGAGCCACCTCTTACACATAAATGCAATTATATCTTATTTCCTAGATCCAGAAAGAGCTTTCTCTAACAACAAATCCCGCTAATATTTTCAAGTTACCTACCACTTAAGAATGTTTCCAGGCAGAAGAGCTTGACTTTCTTTTGCCTCTCAATTAAATTTGGAGTAGTGGAGGAAGGCGCACACGGACCAGACCAGTAGACCTTGCACTGGCAGAGTCGCACGGCGTAGATGGCATGGCCACTGACCTCCAGGATCAGTCCCCTGTCCATAACATCCAGTAGCCGACTCGTGAAGATCTTCTGCCTTTCATTGGTGATTTGCTCTGTTCCTGGAAACTTTACTTGCTCCAAACTAATGGGCCCAAACAGCTCTTCCTGATCTGGCATTGGACCCAGCTCTCCGTAGAAAAGCCGGCATCCCTGGGGGTTGCTTACAGTTGTTGTGGGTCCAGTCTCCTTTCCTCGATATTCAAACTTGATTTCTAGGTCTGTCACTGAGAGAGGAATTGTTAGTGTGATATTCCTGCCCACACACTGCATGAATCAGTCGTGCAATGGGAGCTGGACTCTGAAAGGACAGTTTAACTACACACAGTTCTGCATGATAACAAGCAAACAGCCAAAGGAAAAGCAAGGTGCAAGAGCGCTCGGTTTGAAAGCACAGCGAGGCACTACCGCCATGCACATACTTGGAAGAGAGCTGATCCAGAGCTCGGGGCTGCTGAAGAAGTCATGCTGCAGGGCAGTTGGGGGCATTTCCATATCCAGAGGTTCATTTTTCGGCCACACAGCTTCAGGACTACAGTTTTCTGCACTGGCTGGAGCCATTGGAGAATCTACACAAAAGAATCAATTCTCTGATAAAACAAGATTTGATTTCAAGAGTGCACCAATTTACAAGGGAATAACTCACAGCCTCTGCTACCCACCATTGATATTAAGAAATGGAAAGGTCTCCTGAATAGGGACATGCTGAGATGGATTCAATTCTTCCTCCTCTTCGTCATCAAGATCATTATCTTTTTCATCCCACGGAGCTGAGCCTGTGGAACCTATAAACAACACATGAGAGGCAGTCACTTTGCATTGCATTTCCTGAAAAATAATACTGTAATTTTCATGTACTTTGCACATTATCTGAGGTTAATTTATAGAGGTTTTTTTAAAAAATGAAAATGTAATCTTTACAATACACCATTGTCATTTTTTTCTAATGCATGACTTCAGGACAGTTAAGGATCCCAACAAACTACCACCAGTGCTGCATTATTGAGCAGAGAGCACGCATCCTTTAAATTCAGTGCAGTTATGCTATGGCTCAGAGTCCCCTGAGCTTGATTACAGCTGAATGTACGTATGGCATCCATGTTCCACCGCACATGAAGGCAGATTAAGAGTTAATTCTTCATCGAGGAAGGTGCCTGGCATTGGACAGATGCCTGCTCAGTTATCCGTATTGTGTCAGCAAGGCCCTCACCTGGATTAATGATTGATCCCTGGGACTGCGGGATATCGCAAACTTCATAAATTTTAACAGGATTCATGGGCACCTCCTTGGTGCCATCGTACATCAAATTAAACTCCCGGCTTTTGTTAAGAGCGCATCGGAGCTGGGCTTTCCACTTGGCAGGGTCTGGCTCATCGACGCCCTCCTGGTACTTTCCCGTTTCCACGGCCCATGCCTGTGGACAAAGTGCACCAAGCTTAGTCCAGCTCTCGGAAAATGACAGCTTGTATCAGCAACCACACTTCCAAACAAACTCACCCAAATATTCTTCTCTTACTGTTCCCCCTACAGCCTCTTTTTGTATTCACACAAGGGAAAAATGTAAAGCCTAAATTCCAAGAACCATCAGCAATCTTGAGCATGAGTGTAACTTACATAGGATTATACACTGCACCTTCCACATGCCTCAGGTTGGATACAAAAGTGATTTTGGACAGTTTGTAATGGCGAGCATTACAAACTAGCAGTAGGTGATTTTTGTTCCCCAGTTAAGATATGTGGTTTGGCACTACAAACAAGCCAGCTACCACAGGCTAAACCCGCTAGATGAAGGAAGCTTCATTGGCCGCAATCCATGCGGCAAGACATCAAGTCTGGGCTCTGGTGGTCTGAAAAGGTTAAAGAAATAAGTACCTTTTCAAAGCAGTGCCAAGCTTGGCAGTGAGATTTTCTGAGGTCAAAGGAAACAGGACAAAATGTACCTGGAAACAGTTTCTGAAATGACTATCCAGCTTTTAGGCCAACAATTCAAGCCTTTGTCCCTGTGTAGCGGCCGTGGTAGAGCTGCGTTTCTCCTCCCTTACCTTAAAGATCGTGTTCTCCTCCTCGTGCTGAGGGCTGTGCCGCGTCGCGTGCTTCCAGGGGATCTGGAATCGTTTGGCCTCTCGGTTGAGCCAGATGAGGCCGGGATACAAACCACTATCTACCTGGGCCACCAGCCAGGGCTTCAAGCGAACTCTTCGTGGGTGCAGTGCCATTGTCTGCAAAAGACAGATAATCATAGACGACTGCTCAATGCTGGAAGCCGATTCCACCCTCATCCCACCCCAACCCGTCAAAAAAGTTATTAAATGAAAAAGGATTATCAGCAGCGTTACTATTACTGTTATCTTATTGCACGCCTAGAATACACATCCAGATTTCACTAGATCCCTGCTCTACCAGAAGCAGCCCCAAACGCACCGCTAAGTAAGGACCATAATTGTTATAAGAACAACTCCAATGCTGCAGCAGTCCGAGCTGCTCCATTATTTGTGTTACCTGAGCACATGGAAGGATTAGCCCCAGTCAAAATAGCGCCGTAAATGCTGTGCAGGAGATAAAGCCACAAACAAGCCACAGCAAGAACAGACATTAGAATTTCAAAAGCCTCCACGTACACTTCAGCAAACTGAACTATCTGATCTAATTTCTCTTGAGTCATGTAAGAGTTATACCACAAGCAGGAGGCCAACATGTGCCAGATCAGACACTCCCGCCCATGGGCCCCCGCCGAGGCAATGGAGGCATCTTCAGGCTGGAGGGGAGTGTTTCATCCTACGGAGGCGGTTTCGTGCAAAAGTCATTCCATGGCTTTATCATGAACTTTTTGAATGCAGTATAGTCATGTGCAAACATCCATGTATGGTGCTGACCTGTCATAACTAGAATGTTTGTCCAGAAGGACACGAACTGCAACTCAGGCTAAAAATCAAGTAATGTTGCCTTAGTGTTCAGGGTTTTTTTTTTTTTTTTTTTTAAAAGTAACATGTCAGTTAACTGATCAAAGCTGATGTTGTGCACGTATTCCCGTGTTACTACTATATTTGCAACCAAAAATATTTTCCTGGTTCATGACATATACAAAGCTAAATAAAAAATAAATGGCCGCCCCCATGCAAGAAGATACAGTATTTGCTATTTTTACTGGTTTTTTTTATTATCATTATTTTTATGCAGCACAAATGCTTAGCAAGCGGATTTCACAGATTAGTTTATAAATCTTAAAATATAAGTGAAAAATGGTAAATATTCCCATTAATAAATTTAGATACAGGATAAATAAAAACTTTGCCATCAGGCTCTGAACACTGATATAGAAGTTGCAAAATAAGTCTAGCAGCAGAGATAGAAGAGATTAAAAAAAAAAAAAAAAAAAAAAGAAAAGAAAACTATCCAAGAACTAGTCCAGGAACAGGTTTTATTTGTTCAAATACCTACAGATCCAATTTAAATGCAAGTGAGCGCAGAAAATTAATCTGAACTCCCTCTATTTAGTTCAGATTCAATTGCAAATCGTGTTTAAATAACAGTTTGAAGGTGTGTTTAGTCAAGTATCCAGGCAGGATAGCAAACTTCCCGGGAGCTAAAAAGGATCAGAAAATAAGAGTCAATTTGTTTTATGCTTCTGAAGCTGCTGTGTTAGCTATCCATGTCTGCAAATCCTATCAAAATTAAACTTTCAATAATGTTTGCTAAGACACAAAGTCCAGGCCAATCCTGGACAAATGTGTTTACAATTGAGAGGAAAAAAAGAAACGAAATAAAACAGCTAGAGGTTTCCCTCCCGAAGGGGCACGCTCACTATAAGTGCCCTTCACCGAAGTTTGGTTCCCCACGTCTTCTGCACTCTCCTAACTTCGCTGCTGGTCTCCTCTCCTCCTAATACACAGCAGGCAGAAACGATTAATGCGAACCCGGACTGCAGGGAGAAAAGCTCATGCGTCTAAGGCAAAATAACCGGAGTCACGTGAGCAGTGCGCTGGGACGGACTAGGTTTAAAGGGTGCATTAGATCAGAGCCAGTGTATATCACCACCAGACGTTACAAAGCTTTATGACCTTTTATCACCAACGACTTGTTGACACACTAACCGAGAGCAAATCAACCCGAGTCCCATTGCTCAGCTCAAACAGTGAGTCAGCCTCCCTCGCAGCTTTCCACCCCGCGCGGAGGGGTCCGGCACGGCACTGCTCACCAACAGCAGCAGGGTTGTGGTTTGCCAACACGTACAGCACCAGGTCCCTCTCGCCAGCTCCAGTTGCTGGTGTTTGGGGGCAATATCTACATCCCTCCCTCCAGCAATATCATTCAAAGCACCCCAAAAACCCAGAGGTTTTCCCTTGGATGGGAAACGCTCCCCTGGCAAGAACAGCTCGGGACCCTGCAGCCACCGCCGCAGTGGGCGAGCGCCGGAGGTCGGGAACGCCCCGGCACCGTATCCCTGCGTGCGGCGCTGGCACCAGCCAGCGCTCACGCTGCCCAACTCAACAGCACACCGGAAAACGCTATCCGAAAGCGAAACCTGTCTGATTCCCCCTGGAAAGAGGGACTCGCTAAGGCTCTGGGCACGGGCCCACGGCAGCACAGATGCCCCGGAGCATGCAGCAAGCGCGGCCCCGGCAGCGTCACAGCAGCCGTGCCCAGCGCGGGGCAGGGGGACGCAGCCCTCTCCCTCCTCCTGGGCCAGCTCCCACCACAGCCCCTTGCTCCAGCAGGATTTGGCCCCCCGGACACGGGCAGCTGCAAGATACATTAAAACGAGACTGAAGACGGATGACCCTTTTTTTGGTTCTCTCCCCTGGGCTCTTGTATCCTTACCATATTTTTGTGATGAACGGGATTCCTGAGCTCAAATGCTTTCAGGCTTGGGCTGCCCAGCCAAGATATTCAGGCCTCCTTGTCCACCCCGTCCGGAGCCCTGTAAGGAAGGGAAGGAGGGGCTGTCTGCCACACCACAGCCTGTCACTTCCTTCCTCGTCGTTACCTACAATTTAATCACATTATTGTACACTTAGTGGATTTTCATTCATTTTCCACCAAAGGCAAGCAGCTCAGCCCAGAACACCAGAACTCCTTGTCTCTACACAGAGAAACTGGCTGTTTTCAGTGACTTATCTGACTCCTCATCTCTCCCCTCCACCCGGGAGCACGGCTGCGGCATTTCAGGGATTCGCCCATCGCTCCGCATTGCCGGGAGCAGGGAGCCAGCGACCACCGCCCCACGCTCCACAGCTCCTCGCGGGG